TTACGACGGCACAGAGGTGGCTCTAGCTAACCAGTCCGCAGGCCTAGCTCGCTCGCGTTTCTCTTTGTAGCCCTCAAGAAAATCGATTCGCAATTCCACAATGACGTGCCAGAACCGTACTGCGGTAATTGGCGAATGCAAATGCTGAAAACTGACCGATTTGTGTAGAGTTTGAGCGTCCTCCAGTGAAAAACTCTAGTTAATTCTAGTGCCCCAGAACTAAAAACTGGGTTTCAGCTGGATTAAAATTGAAGTGACCTGGTGGAAGACGGACAGCAAAAACATTATGTTATACCCTTCAATTGGAGATCAGTTTAAGCTTTCTATTATGTTTTTAATATGGGAGATCAACGTATCTAATGAGCAAATTCAACTTGAAATGGAGTTATCTTAATTATGGACTGTTTATAAAAATCACACCAATATGAAATAATATAACCGTTTAATCAAAGAAAATTTCACTAGTCTTAAAATGCGAGCCTGGCTTGTGATGAACGTCCTGAAAAGTGAAAAACTGGCTAGTAATAAGCTCATTCCGAAGTCAAAACCATAAAAGGTGGGAAAAGTACACTACTTATACCGGGCCGTTGAAGTGACATTTAGCAAATGTGAAATGCATGCTTAGTTTTAATTAGTTGCGATTGTAGCATTCTACCGGAAAAATAGTGGAACTGATTGATCAATCGGAATTTCAATAGGCTCAATAGGTTTAGAAAATTGTGTGGAGAGGGACTACTCGTTGCGGTCCAGAACCCCGTTACTACTACTACTCTTACTATTACTTATAACCCCACCATGATACGCCAGTGCGTTTTTCTTCACTGCTTCTTTTATTGTCGAAAACGTTTACGCAAAACTGATAACGAGACATTCACGTCCGTGCTGCCCTTATCGTATGAAAGAAAATTCAATTTTGAATGACCTTTTCGCGTTTGAAAAATCAAAGAGGGAGGATTTCGCTTCAAACGGTTCTTCGACGGAGAAAAATTCCCTCAAACGGCAGGAAAGAAACTTCCAAACCGGGTTAATTTAAACATTTTCATATACCTCGCTACATAAAGGAGAAGCGTTCTGTAACGGTGTCTCGTCAAAGCACAAGTCGCGTTTATTTTCTTTTTCTTTTTTTTTAATGGACGGGTGGAGGTTTTTGTAAACCTAATCGACCCGAAGAAATAAACGTCGCCCCTTTTGCGTGGCGCTGTGACGTCGCGACGAGCGTGAAATGAGAACGTCCCTTTCATCTTCGGGTGGAAATTTTAAATTGGGAAACATGAGAAACATGTCCCGTATTATTCCGAGCTAATTCGATTTTTTTTATAATGTTCCTAGCGACGCCGGCAGAAAATGTTATTCGCGTTCGACTTAGCCGAGGTCACGTAGAGCGCCACAAATCCAAAGAAAATCCCCCTTTATATTAACCCCAGGTCAACCGGGGTCGGTAGTTGCCACGTTCGATGTTTAAGCTGGATTTTTAACACATCTGACGTGAGACGTCGTCTTATCAATGTGGCTTGTCGATTTACATATTCGATATGTCTGTTGTGAATGTTGTAAAACTGTAAATTACCAAACAACTATATAATGAACCGTTGATTTTTGACTGACAAAGTTAGTCGGACCATATTTAATAAGTTTTATGGGTACTGGCCCTGAAGCCTTTTTTTTTCATACTGCTGGCGTGTTGTTTTATTATCGTCTGGTGTTATTTCAGTTTCTTCCCAGTAGGAAATATCATGTTTTTCGTGGTCAATATCTTGCAATTCTGCTCAGTGTTTTGTCAACATTTTTTCATAATATTCTACCCATCTTTCCGGAGAGATATTTAACCTACTGCATTCTTTGCTATCTGTTCTGCTACATTTAATTGTTTTCCAGGCTTTAAGCTACTGCACTGTTCTGTTCTGTTCGACAACAGTTAGTGGCCATAACAATTGATCCATTTTTAAAAGGAAAAATTACTTTTTTCTCTTTAAAATATTCCCAAAACTTGAAGAATCAGTCAGTGGTATATTTTATATTAAGTACCGAGTAAAAATGGGCTATATTAAGGCGCACTGCGCTAATCGGACCGAAACACGCAGCGGCGTTGCATATTTTTCTTCGACGACGTAATGCTCTTACAGATGATCCCCTGGGGGGAACGTGGGGCACAGTCTGTGTAAATCTTAGCAGCGGGGTAACGCGTCGGGGATAAATCACTGCTTTAGGCGAGTTCTGCAGCATCGGGACTCGGGCAATACGTTCTGTTTAACCTGCGACTTTTCGATGTGATCCGATAACGGATGGTGGCGTCAGCTGATCTGCTCGCTGTGTTTTTCGACTCACTCAAAACGCAACGGGGAATAAACATTTTTGTATATCTTCATATTTAATTTCTAAAAATGTAGCAAATATCGAGTAGTTAAGATAAGTGCGTTGTGTGACACAGGAGACGATAAGTAGTTAAGATATGCGGGTTCTGTGAGATTTCGGTCGAGAGCAGAAGTAGCAATGAAATTCACAGTTGCGGAGGTACTGAAATATTTGTTAATGCGACTGTTTGATGTATGGTAACCACTGGTAATAAATACGGTTAAAAGTAAATAGAAAGTTTCCATAATCAGTAAACTTGTAATAAATTTAAAAAAATAATTTTTAATTTTGTTTACTTATGGAACTGCCACGGTGAAATCTTTCCTGCGCCACGTCCCAGATCCCACGGAAAGGGTTTAATTCGGAAACCCCATTTAACCGAAAGTCAACAGCGGCGTTTGTTTTCGGTCGCTACTTCGCTACGAACTACATTAAAAACGATTCGGGGCGCTTGTCGGGTACATCACTTTGTCTTGGGCAAGATAAAACCGAATTAGTTTGATGAGTTTGAGCGGATTTAAATGGAACTTGTTAGCGAGAAATAGGGAAAAATTTTCTTCAATCTATTTTCCAAAATGGCAACATTTTTGATCGACGGTTCGAACGCAAAATGTAAAAATATATTCAATATGTCCCTTTTATTATCTCCGCTGTTTTTTCCGTCGGCCGCCAAAAATGTCGATTTATATCAATTTAACGTCGTTGCCAAATAGAACCGCGTGTACCGAATCAAATTCGGTTGATAAAAATTCCGATTCGGGATGATGTTTGCGGAATACGGTCGCTCGGATTTGAACAAACGCGAGTTCTATAAAGTCCACAATTTGCGGAATACTATTTCCAGCGGAAAAAAATAATAAATTGGAAAAAAATTAATGATTGAATACCGAAATCGGATTTACAACAAAAAGAATATTTACGACGGAAATTTATATGTTTGCGTATCCGTTATTTTGCCCTTTCTTTTAGCTTTGCGTACAACTCGTATTTTCAAAAACGGTTTTTATCTATAATACAAGTACACAGAATAATTACTAACGCAAAGCAATTTAGAGACTAGAAGGAGAAAACAAACCATCTACAAGTAAAGAAGCCCGAGAAAAGGACGGTATATTCATTTTTTTAATGGACTGATGTAACGCAACCTCATGCAAGAACAGAAAGATCGTTTGACACAAAGAAACGACTGATAATGGATGACAAAAGCTTCTACGAGTCAAACCACCCCCCAACACCTACTGCCTACATTTCCTCAACAAGGAACTAAAACCAGTAATTATAAGGACCTTCCAAGAAACGTTTAAAAATAATGCATTTAAACTGGTCATTTCTAACACGTTCCTCCAAGATATAACGGATCAAAACGAACAAAAGGAAATAACTGAAAGATATCACACTATAAAGACATCACATCACATCAAAAAATATCAATCAAAAATATTATTGGCCAAGCCTGGAAAGAGACGTAATAATTTCAGTTAACATATGCGAAATCTGTCAAAAAATGAAATATGATAGACATCTTTATAAAATCGTTTACAAACCTACCCCAATCGGAACTAATAGATAACTATTCTAATTTTGAAGCAGCGAAATATGTCAAAGTTTAATTAAATTCTTTTCACATCATGAAACACCAAGCAAAGTTACTACAGTACAGGACTTGTGGAAAATGAATCGAGTTACATTTCACTACACCGTATGATCCAAATTGGAACTCAGCAGTCGAAAGATTCCATTCTGCCCTTAAGCAAAGCCTCGTTGCTCTTGAAAATGGACATCGTACCAAAACGATCCAAGAACTAATGGATATCGCAATCTTAAAATATAATAATAGTATACATTTGAACTATCAATTAAATTTCAAGAAAATCCTAAGTCAATTGCAAACACACTAAAAAACCAATTTAAAACTTATTGCAAATATTTTCGCTAAACTAAATGAAAAACGGGAAAATGACCCCGAGATGCCCGTATTTTAAAAAATACACATTTAAAACAAAATTGTACCTTTTTTTATTTATACACGAGATTGATCGCAATCGGTAGATTGGTATCGAAACAACGAAAAAAACAGGTCGTCCGGGGGGGTGAGGAACGCCGGATAAGGAATGGAACAAATATTCATTTCCCCTTTAGACGTCTATACATATCGCCGAACATATTTGGGGCGGATTTCAGAAACAGAATTGGTTTTTCCACGGGAACGGGCCCATTCGGCCCCCGCCATTTCTCTTCCCATTTTGACGGACGTGTCCTCGCCGGTAAATTGTTTTTTCGTCGGCGATTATTTCGGCTTTCGTATGAGAGAGAAGGGCAGAGAGAGCGAGAGTAAGATTAACGTTTGCATTCAGGTTAAGTGAGGGTGAGAAACCAGGACATTTCCCTGTATCTTGGGGGAACGAGTTTTGTATAATTATAAGCAAAGAAGTAAGAAAAATATAAGAAATATAAGTATAAATTTTTTGAACGAATTAGTTTGGTTTTCCGATTGGAAGGAACACCGAACTGGAGTCACACTTGATTGAACTTATGAAGTAGTAGAAGTAGCTTCGGATTAGACAAATTTTCCTAGTTAATTTTTGTATGAGACCACCTCCTTTGTTTCATGTTGATGTTGATGTTGATATCGCGCTTTTCTTTTGCAGGAATTATCAGGACCACTGCTATTTTGGACGTCGAGACGAAAAATCACTACTGGTTGACCGTGTTCGCCCAAGACCACGGCGTAGTTCCACTTTACTCCAGCGTCGAGGTAATAACGATGTATTATTATAATGTATATTATTGAGTCAATTAATCTGAATACAAAGGTTTCCTAAGTGTAAAACGAAAGTGGTTTCAAAGGAGCTCTGTTTCGCGCGCCCAAGACGAAAATTTTAAACAGTCATCTCTCACGATAAAGCGACGATAAGGAAGAGAAAAAACGAGACAATAACCGCATCAAAATTCTTGTTGCGGCAGTCAACACCTCCTCGAAGCCGTATAAACGGGAACGAATGTGTAAATAAAAATCCGGCAACCGATATATACTACCGCTCGTTGTGTATCGGGGGAAAAAAGGGGGGGCACAAAATCTCGAAACGGAGGACCCTTTTCGCTAAACTCGTGAAACTTTAATGCCCTCCGCCGCCGCCGCCACAATGTTTCGCCGATAATATAAATCATCAGACCGTTGGAAAGATGCCTCGGTTCCGGCCGTGTGCAGTTTTTGCTCCGAGAGACGAACTAGACCGTATTATTTTTACCAAACCGCGCGAAACGACACGGAAAGAGATGAATTTTTCGCAATTTTACATTACCCCCCCTAGGCAATTCTTTTTTCTATTTCGTACTCGTCCTCCCCATATTGCGCCAAAGTGACTCCTAAATACTTAAATTGATAAACATGCTCGAAGCTGTATTTCCTAGATTCCGCTTTAAATACTGACATATGCTTCATTAAATTTTGTGTGGCAGTTCATTTGCAGGTATTCCTTATAGACAACATCTAGTAATACTATGCCTCAATAATTATTACAGTCAGCCTTATCTCCTTTTTTGTGTATCGGGTAGATGACAGCATTTCCTCATCAATTTGACATTCTATCTTCCTCCCATATTTGCTTTATTAATTCCGTAATACGCTCCCTCAACAATCCACCCCCATATTTTTAAACCTCTGCTAGAATTCCATTCTCTCTTACACTTTTATTATTTTTCATCTCACTGATGATCTGTTCAATTTTCTTGCCTGTTGGAGGTGCTATTAGTAGATTCTGATCCTCTCTGCCCCACGATCTTCCACTAATTCGTATCTATTGATTCTATCTTCGGTATCCTCGGTACCATTTTCTAACAGGTCTTTAAAATATCCTTGTCATCTATCCAATTTTCTTGATAAAAATTCCCTAATTTTAGCTTTTACATAGTCTTCTTCCATCTTTACTCTCGCATAGTTTCTCCTATTGAGACTTTCTCTACAGTCGCCGTTAAAGCAGCCCCTCTTGAGTCCAGCCTTCACCTAATCTAATTCTTTTTCCAGCACTCCTTTAATTCTTCCTTCTAATTCATCCCAATCATTTTCTATGTGATCCGTCCTTTGCATCCTGCTCAACTTTTCCGTCATTACTTTTCCAAAGTGTTTAGCAAGACTGCATAGTGAGTATCGGCATCGGCTCCTCTGTAACTTTTAACGTCCACCAGGAAATACCTTTCCTCGTTTCCTATCTTCGCATTTAAGTCACGTCAAGTAATTTTTTTTTTTTCGAAGAAATTTAAGCAGTTCGTTAGTTCACTGCTTCTGGATTTCCACTGCGTCGGGATTCGACTCCTTGTCTAAAAATTTCAAACGGCACTCTAAAGAAGCCAACAGCACGTGTGCTGACACTGAATAAATCGAGGAATATGTACCCTATGATTGTGATCTGAAATTACATCTACGTTTTTCTTTTAGGTCTACATCGAAGTGCTCAACGAAAATGACAACATGCCTCTCAGCGAACGACCCGTTTACTATCCCAGCGTACTGGAGGATAGCCCGCCTGGCGTCGAGGTGCTCCAGATCAAAGCCACGGACAGGGATCGAGACCCCGCGCAACAGCTGTCTTTCAAAATCGCGACCGGTAATCCCGAGGGATTTTTCGCAATCAACTCTTCCACAGGTAAGAGCCTGGATGGTCATAAATTCCGCTTTTATGAAACGTTTTGATTTTCTCTTTCGAGATAAAATGAGATATTCAATATTTAATATCTAGTGGAACCTCTACGCCTCACTACGAACGCTGCTAGAAATTATGACAGTCCATGCAGGCCGTGTTGCAGAGTTGGACTCCAATTTATCTCCTAACTAGCTGCGCACCACTAGGGAGCAATCGATTAAGAGTAATAACAGCTCAATTCATTGCCTGAGTCCATGTACTCTTCTTCTACTTCTTCGACATCTTCTCCCCCCAGAAAATATGTGAAGCTCTAAATGATCTATAAGAAACGACGATCGTAATGCCACTTCGTCCTGCCTAAAACCCCGAAAGCCGGGCACGTTTGTTCGATTATTATTAGATCTCAATCGAACGGCACGGTCACTGTGATGTGGACGAAGCCGCAGTTCCGAAACTATTTGGACTACAAATTAAATTTCCAATTGGATTTCACTTTTGACGAGAACGCCCGAGTTATTTCCATTGCCGCGTTAAACAAGGGAATTTAATGCTGCGCCGTACGGCAATAATCGATATTTATTTAATTCGTTTCGCGGTAATCCGATTGGCGATCGTGTAGAATGACGCGCGTCGTCGTAGGAGTACGTACGATTTCCGTTTCTATAGCGCAGTGTTGAAGTGAAGGTTTTGGATCCAATGGACCATTCTTTCAAAGTCTCCTTGCTAAATTATACTTCGACCAAAAATATAGTGCTTTTACAAACGCTTTAACTTTGTGCCTACTCCCGAGCAGACCCTGTAACCATTCCATTCCGAAGTACCAGCATCTTCTTGCAGTTGACTTCAGAACTTTGGTCATGTCACTTCTTTTTATTGCTCCTCCTACTTCCCCTTTTGAATTTCTTATAAAATTGTAAACATTCAACAACAATTTGTTTCGTTTGTTTAGTTCGTGTTCTAAATTGTCACTAGGTTTGACTACCATCTCCACTTCGTCTTTAAATTCTGCTTTATTTTCCACGTCTTCTTTAAACAGTCCCCACATTTTAGAGTGTTAAGCTTCCAAAAACGTTTAATTGTATGATTCTAATAAATATTTATCTCTATTCTTATGATTATCTACCGCGAATATAATCTGTATTCTTAAAAAAGACTGTTGTTGTTTGCAAATCAAAGAACTATGTAGAAGACACAAAAATACAAGAAGAAGAATCTTGTTATTCGACAGGCACACAAGACCAAAATGATTATTTTTAAACTTACCTGTAAGATGAATAGAGTACAGGTACTTACCGTTAGCCTTTGAACTATCCAGTGAAAACAGCCTCGCAGGGTCAAAGCTCGAGTATCAGGTACACAAATACGTACTTACTGGAAGGATCACATTCAAAAAACTTCACCCTATGTTAAAATAAACGCTTCTACTTATTCAAAAATACCCCGCAGCATCAATGTATCATCATCATCAATATATATGTCCTTTCGCGAGTACACTGTACTCGGACTATTATTTTTTCTACTTATCTGTCTACTCCGATTTTTTTGTAATGGATTTTTTTTTTAATTAAAGAAAAATCGCTTTATAAAAACTATAAGCTTTTTTTTCAATATTTTGTTATTATTATCATAATCGCTACTATTATTATTAAATAAATTCATACACAATATAAAAAAATTACATCCTCTAATATGGTAGTGTATGGTACCGTTCGAAGTAGTGTCCCGCCTGCCTTCTCGTGCTTCAAGGTTAGAACATATCGCACAGTCTTTTTTCTTCCCATAATTTTGATGATGATGATGATGGTCTGCCAGGAGTTTTGGACCCCTGCCGAAAGTTTTCTGTCATCTCGTCAACCAATTCCCGAACAAACTTTAGATGTGCCAGTGGTTTTTTGTTTTGCCTCCGTTGTGAAATTTTATATAATAAAATGCATTAAAACACCAGACATTTCGAGTCCCCAGAAACATAACTTTCGCCACCATTTTAAAGACTTCCTCAGATATGATAGAATCAGGTATAAATCTGCGTTTGATTTAAATAGTATCTGTCAAATGAACATTTAGTTTTAACAATACTTCTGCAAGTGGCAAGCTCGTATAGTATCTATCGGTGTAAAAGTGATATATCCTCTTTATCCTCTATTATTGTCTAATAATTTTTGATACAGACGTGACACTATCCTTGTGCTTACAGGTAAATCAGGACTCACTAAATCTTCCGATGTCAAGCTTCCTTAGTACGGCAAAATTGAATAAACATATCCGGCTTAGCATCCGCCATTACATAAATTCGTATCCTCCATTTCGTAGGCTTGTTAGGATGGTAAGTTAAAAAACTAATTTTACCCTTAAATCCAACAACAGATTCGTCTACCGATATCTCTCTTGATGGAACAAAATGTTCTTTGAATTGCTTATCCAAATAATCTAAATACTGACTGACCTTCTGAGTTCGAGCCCTAAGAGAGATGGTTTTCATGGATAAAAAAAGGTATTTTGACGTTAGAATGTTGTGACCAATACCCTTGGAAATTAGATAAGATTATCGTACCCATATTTAGGACAACCCCAATCTACCCACGTTTTGATAATCTCTTTTGTGCTATTTTATGTCTAGCAGAGCTTGAAAAAATCTATGGAATTTGTGGTCCTACCATTTTATCCCCAGAAGTAAACGGAATCCTGTATGGTTCCTGATTGTGGCACGTGACTTCCTGCCATGGACCAACGTTACCAGGTTGTGTTATATTCTCGTTTTCTTCACTGCTGCTTGAACTTGATGGTAAAGGTATGGTTCTCTATCTTTTAGTAACTATAATATAGCTACTACTATTAGAGTCACTAATATTATCACTATCAAAACCATCATTTTCAGATGCGTCATTATAATATTCGTTATTTATTTATTTATTTACATACACTGCTCAACAGGATCATACTCAATTATAGAGCAGGAGAACACCAACTATATTTAATCAGAATTACAAAATTATTTACAAAATATAAACACTACACACAATATTGCAAAATACTCGCGCCTGGTCTGCAGAGAGTCCATCGAAAACAAATTCAGCAACTCAGTCTGAGGAACATCCAGTTCAGGATAAGATCCATGAGTTTTATAATACGTATATTTTAGAAATCGCCTTTGAATGGACTCCAATTTCTGCGAATGAACGCTATAACCAGGCGACCAGACGGCAGAGGCATATTCTAACTTCGAGCAGTAAACAAAAGCTTTATCGAGTTATGTGAAGCAAAATCTTTAGTTTTAGATGAGCTTGCCACTATTGACTCGATGTGATCGACAAACGACAACTTTTTATCAAATATTACACCTAGGTCGCGCACTAAGTCCGCACTAACAAGAGATGTTGAGCCAATGCTGTAGTCAAAGAGAATTGGGGACGATTTCAATGAGTAAGTCATGTCAATACATTTGTTAATGTTAAGAGGCATCATGTTGTTGTTACACCACAGATTTAGAATCTTCAGATCATGTTGCAGTCGAATGCAATCAAGAAAATGATTTATGACAGCATAAAGTTTTAAGTCATCCGCATAAAGAAGGTATTTGAAAGAAAGTTCCAGCTCTATGTCATTCATAAATGGAATGAACAATAAGGGCCCTAGGACGGAGCCCTGTGGCACACCAGAAGTTACATTACATTCGCTCGAACTGAAACCGTACGAAAACGTACTGCCTGCGGTTAGTTTAGTATGATTCAGTCAACGTGAGTAAAGAGGAGGAAAATCCAATTCTAGATAATTTGTTTAATAGAATACTGTGATCTGTCAAAGGCTTTTGTTAAATCTACATAAATGACATCCAGCTGTGCATGGTCATCGATGGCACTAGCTATATACTGCGTGATAAGACATAAATTTCTAGTTGCCGATCTACCCCTTATAAAACCGTGCTGTTTCGAAGACAGCATTATAACATTATACAGAAGGATTTCGAAAACCTTGAGGAAGTTGGATATTATCGAGATGAGTCTATGATTACTGATGACATTCTTGTCTGATTTCTTATCACTACTTTGCAATTCATTTTCAATTTCATCTTGTGAAAATTTCTTCGGCATTTCAAACACTTTTTTTTTTCGAAATATGCACCGAAAAAAATACACCGAACTTTACCCAATCGTGTTAGATATAAAACTGAGTAATATTCAACCGGCCAACTTGCTGTAATAATAAATTATTGTGCGCCGCCTATAGGGCGACATACGAGTGCAAAGGTCTGCGGTTAAGGTACTGTAAAATACTTTAAACGTTAAAGCAATAAATGCACTATATTTTTGGTTGTACAATACTAACCTATTCGAAAGTGTAATGGAAGAAGAAGAATAAGAAGTGGTTTCTTTTAGGGTAGGTTTATGTTGGAGCTGCAAACACAGCAGCCATATATTAGAAAAATGGAAGACAAAAAGAATGGGTTTTCGTGGATAACCCTGTAGGTGTATATAAAATAAACAAACTTTTGCGGCAAGTTTGCGCGGAGCTATCGAGCGGCCGGCAATTTCGGCGATTAAAGAGGCTCTTGCAGATTGCCGATGACAATAGGCGAAGTTTCGTTATTGTTCAGGGCCCCCGCGAGTGTTTCTTTTATCTTTCGGGAAATCTCAACGCCGGCCTCGGCGAAATTAAAATGTATCGAAACTTATTTAATATTTCCCTTCGAGTTTGGCAAAGTGCTTTTAGCTCTTGGAATCGAGCCTTTTCTTTTGACGAAACAAATATTGTTTAGTTGGAAAGTTTTTTATTTTGTTGGTCGATTTTAGTAGGGATTGCTGCAAAAATTGTTAATTTTATTAATCTGAATTCCAAGTAGATTTAAATTATATGCTTTCAGATATTTTTTCGCATATATATATATATATATATATATATATATATATATATATATATATATATATATATATATATATATATATATATATATATATATATATATATATATATATATATATATATATATATATATATATATATATATA